CCCGCGCCAGAAGGACCGATTATTGCTGTGAGTTTCCCCGATTCGAAATGCCCCGTCACATTACGCAAGATCTTTTTCTCGGTCTCTACAGTAAGCATTCTTCTTTAATCATATTTATAGACAACACGTGGAAAACGCATTATAATTACAAATAAAATTGTGTAATCTTCAAAACCTGGTTCTTTAAATCAAACAATTTTCCAAGAAAATAATGCGCATATACGCAATACCACTTATAACTGCGTTTTACAAATCATTCATAGATTTTCAAGATCGCTAAGTCCTAAATTAATAAATGAGATAATTTTAGCAAAAATCCGAAACGCGATGTATCTGCTGTCGCTATCGGCTGTTAAATATATAATCTTTGATATATGTACACGGAGAAAATTTTATAGTAAATATTACTATGGTGTCGCACTAACTGCGGACCATCGAGGAATTTTAAGTTAAATTACTATGTTTATGGTAAAAATTACGTTATTTTATCGTTTTTAAAAGAATAATTATAGTATTTTAACTTGAAATTCCTCGATGGTCCGCAGCTAGTGCGACACCATAGTAATATTTACTATAAAATTTTCTCCGTGTAGCACACATCTTAGACATATTATAATATGTTATACGAATATATGTCATATTATGTGATATGTTTGACTTGTAAATTTTCAATTTTAAGATTAGAGCAAACAATACATGATTTGTATTTTTATTACACATTTATGTAATGAGATAAATAATTTTCGAACACTCTGAAGATATTTAGGATAATTGTTTTATATTGCGACACGTAATTATAATGAGCTTTTTAATGAGAACAAGAACTTGTTTGCGAATCATAACTTATAATGACATTTTTATTTTATTTTTAAATAAAATATTTACGTCATTATTTTTAATTAATTTATATAAAGACATTCAGCTCTTTTTACGGCTTATAAAATAACATGCTTTTCTAAAACACGAAATCTTGTACGATCATAACATTAACTCTATTTAGGAAATTAACAAAGTTGTATTAGTTACTTGTACATGCTAATGTGAAAAATTTGATAATTAACATACGTAATCTTTTGTTATTTACTTAAAATTTTGCTATTGCGATCAAAATAATTACAAACGCGGACACGTACGTCAATATATAATCCACAGCTTTATTATTTATTGTTAGAGTAAGTCAGACATATTTTTCTTTTTTGTGCGCATGCCCGCCACATGGAGCTTCCGTTTACCGGTCTGCGAGCCGTGCGTTAGTCAGTCGCTCACATACCTAGCCACGAGTTGGATGTGCTAATAAAAACTTCTCTTTGTTAACATACAAAATCCTATTTACTGAGTTTTCTCTCGACTTCTTCTCGAGGTAGCGAAATACAACTAGTGGACCTCAACATTTATAATGAGGAAAAGGACCAATATATACGAGCATTAATCGATGTTACAACAAATTTAAATTATATCCAGATTTATTGAATTATATAAGTGTTCACAGATGACGAGAACCAATTATTGCCTGTTATGGTTCTCGTCATGCTCTGAACACTTATGTAAGTCTCGGTTTATAATTTTATTGAGTCGATCATACTAAATCATCTTATTTAAATACATTTATCCAGTTACCACTCAGATGGTCCAGAAATGTATGGTACCTTTCAAAATTGTGGATTCATGGGTCTCCACGGGACGACGATATACCTACTCAATAAAACGGAAATAGAATTGGAGCATGATCGACTGACTTGAGAAGAAAGCGTTCTATAATGTTAAGTTTTTGACTTTGTGATTGCGGTACGTCTCCATGTTTAATTGATTGCGTTTTGACCCCTATATAAGTTAGTGATTAACTATTCACTTAATTGACAATTCTGATGAAGTCCGAGTACGGTACGAAACGTCAATAATTCACTAAATCTGGATATAATTTAAAATTGTTGTAACATCGATTAATCCTCGTATATTGGTCCTTTTCCTCATTATAGCCTTTACTTCAAACGAGCGGAAAATAATGTTTTTATTGTTTATTATTTATTTTATTACGAAATTAGAATCTAAATCTTGGTTTAAGCTTTAAATTAACTGTGTCAGTTTTTTTTTTAATTTAACTCATAACATAACTGGAGATAAACGACTAGAACCGGATGTAAGTTCAGTGGCGCAGGGATGCCGAATCTCTATAAGTTTTAAAAACAGATTGCTGAACAAGTTTTAATGTCTTCTCACTTTGCTAATATTTTTGCACTTAGCTTAACCCTAGAATCCATGAGAGGGGTCGATTTCGACCCTAGGCAAACTTTAAAAAAAGAGGTTTTTGCTGATTTTCTGCATTTTTCGGTCTTTAAATGGTTTTTTCACTAACTAAACTTGAGTAAAATTAAATTTACCGTATACCATTCTCTTCGTTATTAAAAAACGAAGAAATTCATATAGGTTTAAAGGCCCTTTATTTCTGTAGGACCGGTTTTACGATCAAATAAAGCGTGGGGTCGATATTGCCCCCAGTCATGGATTAGAAGGTCAAAAAAATGATACATGGATTCTAGGGTTAAACAATAGTACGTAATGGTGTACGTACATCACATTTTAAAATATTAAGCTGCATTTATTTTATGATTAAATTTCAGTTAAAATGTTGCGACATATAGATGATATTTGTGCGCTGAAAACTCACAACATTAAAAATGATGATTTACGCGCGAATTTACGATTGGGCGAATTTAATAAACATATCAATATGTAAATTCTAGAAATTATCAGACGGATGTGTTTATCGCCCAAATCGACACAACACAACATATACGTATTATATTTGTGTAACATATATGTATCGCAATGTAATGACGTGCGCTTACGTTGCTATATTATCAATCGAATGATTAGATCAGTATTTTTTAAAACACAGCTATCTAAAGCTGTCTGAAGATATCACGAAGCGTAATACGAGTAAATTGGGTCAGAATATCGAGAACGCAGGAAAAACGCAACTGTCATAAAATATGTTGGACGATGATGAAATGTTCTTGCCTTTGCGTTTGCGGCGAACCGAATAACAGAGATCGCTGAATTCGATGCACATCTGCGAGTTCCACGATTTTCCGGGTTCTAGCAATTTTTCCGACTCCTGCAAACTGATCTTGCAGGAGTCGTCGTCCAGCATTTTCGCTGCGTCGTTCGCTTCCAGCATCTTGCCGAACACTAAGTAAAATTAGCGGCCGTCCGCCGTCAATTAATTAATTCTTCTTCTTCTTTTTTATTTAATGATAACACTCGCCTCTTTTCAATGAATGATACTGCCAACTTCTTGTTAAAAATGAATTTCAATGAAGCTTGTGTTAAGCCTTGTGTCCACGATGTTAGAACTGCGTCCGAGTTTTGGTTTAAGCCAATCAACTTGCAGCTCTTACAGAAAATTAGCAGTTTCATTGGCTTAAACCTAAACTCTGACACAGTTCTAGCATCGTGCACAAGGCTTTACTATAGGAATATTCAAGATCTATTTTCCATTTGACTGGTGAGACAGCGTGAATTGTGTGCGCAATGTGAAAGCTTAAGGGGCGGTGGAGGGGAGCGCAGCGCGCAGTTCACATTTGAACTTCAATAGGCTTACAGAAGGTCATGAATTGATTAACTGAGAAACCGGCGTTTACGCTGATTGTGTTATATATTTAGGTACAAAAAATTTATACAATTTTTTACATTTATAATCCTATTGTCTCTCTTAACATTCTACCTACTGTTACAGAGAAAATGTGCTAAATCATTAATTTTTTGTTTGAGACATACTTAGATAATACTTTCTTGTTTAAGATAAGTATTAACACGTTACTTTCTTGCAAAATAAATTTTCCAACAAAGTACTGCATAGGTGATTATGTGTAAACAGAGTATCCAAAAGCTAAGTACTATCAGAATAACGTAAAATGGTACTGTTGGCATATCCATCATCGAGAGAATCTTGTTTGGTGAACGCAAGTAACAGTAGATTTCCGAGCATGACAGATTCGATCGATTAAGATAAACCGCCTGCATCATTCCTTCGAATGTGTATCTACAATAAAATTTACATTTCTCAAATTTACTGAAAAAATAAGGCAAATTGGAAATACAATAAAATAGTGTTTCTACAAATAGGAAGCAAGAACAACTGTTTATAAATAGCCATTATAAATTATTATAAAAAACGTTTCATATGGAAAACATCATGTAGTAATAATAAGTTTAAATGCAAAAAATTTTTAATATTAGTAATCGCTATATAGTATAATTAAATTGTCTGTACCTGTAAAAGCTCGTAGCGCATAAAGGCTGTAAGTATACCGATATATCTCTAAATTTCAAGAAATATCCGGCGAACAGCACTAATGGTGTACTGACTACCGGTATTAAGAAGAAACCTGACTGAAAGAAATTATACTTGGTCAGCTGCATTATCTGTTCATACATATTAAATAACAATCAATTTAAAATTTGAATGGTTTAAGCTGCTCAATATATACGTATATAAACTGAAAAATTATTTATTGTTATAAATAAATCATCTAATGATTTATTAACTTATTTTACTATTACAAATACCTAATTATAGCCGTGATATTTTCCGATATAATATTGTAATAAGTATGTAATGTTGACTTATTGTAGCCTTTTTTATAGCTTTTCTAATAGTGTAAATATTAATTCAAATAATAAAAAAATACCACAGCTGAAATACCTTAGTGCCAAAAGCTGCGCCTGTAAGCATCCCGGCCGTTTGTCCAATAATTGTAATTAGCAGGCCAACGCTCCACATCTGTAGAATTCTAATATATTCCATTGGCTGCCCTGTCATATAATATAATATAAGCAAAAAAGATGAGGCGCAAAGTATCTAGAAATTAGACAAATTTTTAATTGATTTCAAAACCAATGACAATATATTTAGGTGATATTTAGCCAGAACTTCATGTCTGAAAGAAATAATTAGTAATAATTAGTAATAATACAAATAATACTGCATTAAAACATACTTGTAACGGGAGATCCGTTAGTATCTTTACGCTATAGTAAGCCCTCAAAGAATACCAGTTATTTAAATATTCCTGCAGAAATACTGTCGCTTCTGTGGGAACTACAATCAGATTAACATGGTACAGCTATTTATGAAAATCATGAAACGTATTTATCATAATTTTAAACGCAGAAAATTGAAAGTACCGTCAAAGAAATTGATTTTATTCTTCTTTTAGTCTTTTAGAATTACCAAAAAGATAGTAATAGTATAATATATGTAATTTAGTTATTTGCTAACAAAATCACATAAATTATCCATTATATTTATATATACGTAGAAAAATATGCAGAAGTATGAAATATTGTTAGAAAAATCTGTGTCACTTACACATTAATACTGCAGGCATAGAATTTGCGAAGAATAAAAATAACACAGAGATAAATAAGCAAGCGGTATTACTGAGCACTTTCTCCGCGTCGTCACCAAAATTATAGAAAACTGCTCCAAAAAACAGGCCATTTGCGATGTGCCCCGCAAATCTTAATTTTGTCAAGGCCTGAAAGATCAATCACACAAAATAATAGCATTTTGATTTTTTAACCAAATTGTTCGAATATAACTGTCGATAGTTTTTACTCACAATATCTCGCTTGATGCAAATTAAAGATCTTAAAAATAAAATCTTTTGCTGTTGCCATGTTGACTTTTTTGGTATTATATTATTTGTGGACGTATCTATGTCGCCTGTTTCACATTTCTGGTTAGAATCAGACGTTTCTATAAAAAAATTCAATTATTGAGAGTTATTAGTAACTGAAAAATTATTTCTCATAATTTTGAATTGTCTCGCTTTATATATTTATGCTTTTCGAATAACATTAATTTTATATCATACGCAAAAGAGATATAGTCCTCGAAGTTTAGAGATACTCAATGCCTGATCTAATATTTCTAAAAATAAAGAATATTGTGCATATTCTCGTTAGATAAAATATTCACGCTTTTATTATCCAATCATCGCGAAGCAAGATGGAAAAAACATTGTATGTAATACATTAGTATAAGTTATTAAAATAATTGTTAATGAATTATTAATGAATTATTATGAATTAACAAAAGTTCGAGATAATTAAGAAACGTTTAAATATATAACCGTTTAATAACTTTATTAATTGTAACATCATATTTACCATTTTCATTAGGTTTGTTGCGCGATCTCGACTTTTCGTATTCATCGCGACAGATCTTGTATAAATTCTCTAAATCTCCACCTCTTTGCTCTGTTATTACCTCAAGTACTGCAATCAGGAAAACACAATCAATATTACATGTGGATTGTTCTCCATTTTTTTCAAATTAATAATATGCTTTAAATGATTTAATATCATAAATATTGTGTAGTAAAATTGTTGTGTAACATTGAAAAGTGATAAAGCCACAATTCATGTAATAAGCAATACTACATCAAATTAAACAACTAATGTGAGCATTTTTCTTTGTATTTGCACATAATATATTGAGAATTGTATTTATATCAAGTTTTACAATCTTGATGTTTTTCGAGATATCGAGAATATTTCAGTTTATGCAAGGTAAACTTTTTGAATACTTTTTTTTAAGAACACATCTGTCTTAAGGAAGTCTGTTTGTTACTCTATTTTTTTAATAAATTTAACTGCTATGCAAGATTAATAAGAAAAGATCTAAGAAATATAAGAAAAATGCGCACAGCTCTAAAATATTTTATGTTAATACTCTTTTTCTAATTCTCCTGCTTTTTTATAATTTACTTATTAAGTCGGATCGATAGAGTCGACGTTACCGAATTCTGCTATGTTGTAGAAGATGGGACACGTGAACCCGGCGATGCTGTACGTATTTAAGATCTCGTTCTTTGGACCACAGTACATACTTCTGCCTTGGTTAAGTACCATAATGTCATCGAAGAGCGAAATCATCTGACTGCTGGGTTGATGTATTGCACAAACCACAGTGCAGTTCTCTCTCGCCATACCGTGCAGCATGTTAACGAGCTATTCAATGGAAATCGTATGGATATATGCGTCGCATTAAGAACGCCTTAATGATATCGCAGAACAAAATATAATAATCAGAAATGTTTATTATTCTCGATCACAATACTATATAATAATATTCCAGCTACGTCTCAGGAATGTTGCAACGTTACTACGATATTGCTGGAATATTTTGCGCTTTTTTAGTAGAATACAAGAAGTAAATATTGATTTTTGTCGACTAATAGCGAATGTTTTTGTAAAACAATCGCTATTGATGTAATCTGCATTAATATATTTATATGTATATCATCATACCTGATTAGACGCCGCACTGTCGACACCGCTTGTTGGCTCGTCTAATAAGAGAACGGATGGCTTGGTGATCATTTCCACGCCGATGGAGAGTCTCTTTCGTTCGCCACCGCTTAATTTTTTCGCCAATGTATCCAGGCAATTTGGCAAGCTGAGACTCTCCGCGATATTGTTCACCTGACGGAAATAATATCTGATGGTGCATCAATTTATATATAACTTTTTTGTTCGCCACAGCAAGCTTATTATATAGTAGAAATAATGATATATAAAATATATTTTTATATATAATTATTATATGTATGTTATTATTATTTAATAATACATTTTATGCACAGCGGGGTTGGAGCGTTTCTTTTGTATTTATATTTTACTTACAATTAAGCGAATCGCTTGTTCGTCCTGATTAACGTCGAGTTTCAGCCGAGCTGCTATATAGAGAGTCTCTCTTGTCGTGAGAAACGGCAACAGATCGAATTGTTGCGGCACGTAGCGCACCTGTTTGCGGAACATTTCCCTGTCCCGTTCAACGCCGTTTATGGTGACAATGCCCTTAACGTCGGTCAGTCGTTCGCCCGACGCCACTTTCAGCAGGGTGGTCTTTCCCGCGCCAGAAGGGCCGATTATTACTGTGAGTTTTCCCGATTCAAAGTGCCCCGTTACATTACGCAGGATCGTTTTCTCGGTCCCTACAGTAAGCATACCTCTTTAACCATATTTAGACAACACGTGGAAAACGCGATCTAATTGCGTGTCACATTTACATTAAAATCGCACTAAGATCCAAAAAAATCACACAGAGATTTGTCTAGAAAAACTCGAAGCATTATATTATACATGCACATATATTTCGTTTTATAATTATCTCAAATTCTTGCAATTATATTATATGTTGATGTGCACTGATACGCACATATATAATTGCATGTTACACATTTAATTGCGAAACTGATAAGTGTTAGGTAATTTTCTGATAGGAATTGGAAAGACATGCGCGTTAATTAATCTAAATTATAATTACAAATGAAGCTGTGTAACCTTCAAAACCTGCTTCTTTAAATCAAACAATTTTCCAAGACAATAATGCATATACGCAATACACCTATAACTGCGTTTTATAAATCATATTCATAGATTTTCAGGATAACTAAGTCCTAAATTAGTAAATGAGATAATTTTAGCCAAAATCCGAAACGCGATGTATCTGCTGTCGCTATCGGTTGTCAAATAGATAATTTTTGAAATATGTTACACCCATCGACATATATAATATGTTATATATGTTATATATATGAATATATGTATCATGAATAATATACGGTAAACCGCAGTCAGTGGAGAGAGTTTGGAGCAATTAATATTCGAATGTAATCTCTAAGAAATCCTTAGTATATTTTATTAGTTTCTTAGACTTGAAAATTTTTAATTTTAAAATTAGAGCAAACAATACACGATTTGTATTTTTATTACGAATTTATCCTAATGAGATAATTAATTTTAGAACACTCCGGAGATTTTCAAGATAATCGTTTTATATTGCGATAAGTAATTAATAATAAGCTTTATAATGAGAACAAAAACTCGTTTAACCCGCACCTTGCTATTTCAATCGAATGATTAGATCAGTTATTTTGTACACAGCTACCTAAAGCTGTCTCAAGATATCACGAAGTGTAACGAGTAAATTGTGTGTCAGGATATTGAGAACGCAAGAAAATCCCGACTTTCACAAATATGTGAGACGATGAAATGTTCTTGCCTTTGCGGTTGCGACGAGCCGAATAACAGAGATCGCTGAATTCGATGCACATCTGCGAGTTCCACGATTTTCCGGGTTTCAGCAATTTTTCCGACTCCTGCAAACTGATCTTGCAGGAGTCGTTGTCCAGCATTTTCGCTGCGTCGTTCGCTTCCAGCATCTTGCCGAACACTTCGTAAAATCAGCAGCCGTCCGCCGTCAACTGATTAATTGAAGAACCGGCGTTTGCGTACTGGGCATACGAGATGCGTGATACGCGATGATCATCGAATTCTTTATTAATCGTACGCGGTCGGCATAGCGTCGTGCTACGACTTCATGCGTTGACTGATCTCGTACTACTGCAAGTATAGCAGAAGGATATAGCCTCGGTCACTTTCACAAGGCCAATGAATGAATAAGTCACCTGCGAACCTGTTTTATATCGCTCAAGTTCTCACTACGTTGTATAACTATCGAGCACGTTGAATGTTTATTTGTTTACTGAGTCAGTCTGCAGCGTCTAAGACTCTAGATGATGTAAGATCACTCTCCCGTATCTTGATTGCGTTATGACCCTTGGTCCTTTATGTAATATGACTTCATTTTTTACATTAAGCATAGCAGTGCCATTATGTGTGATGTGTATATATAACATATGTAAAGTATTATGCGTATGTATATACTATACGTACATGTATATTTATATAACTATGTATAGTAAGTTTTATATTAAATAATAAAACAAAAATTTTTTTACGAAATGGCATTGAGCTATATTTAGTATCTTTACATGTTGCATTAATAGTAAAGCGCGGTTGTATAAATTATGAAAATATCGCAACTTAAACGCGCACTTTGACGAACTGATTGTTCGCAAAAAAAAAGAACATATTGACTTGTATTAACATCTAATGTCCAGGACAGATATATCGCATTTATTTATATTATTTTCCTTTTAGTGTTAATTTTGTCGCTTTTTGTACTTCTCAGTTCTTTGTTAAATAACATTTGTGCGCAAAAAGTTTCTTGACTTTGTTCTATAAAACAACAATTTTTTGGTTTTTGTTTTATTTAATCATTTTGTTTATAACTACAGACATTTATAACATTTATAACATTTTGTTTATAACAGAGAGGTAACATGATAAGAAAAGTTAATGTCTGTTTTAAGATAAAAACTCACGTACATAGCTTGAACGAAAATGTCATGGTAAGTTTGAACTGAAATTATATCAATGATAATAAATAGTAAGGATAACTGAAATATATTATAATTAGATTTATCAAACTAAAAGCGCACATATTTTATTTTATCAACTGGAACAGTTGATAAAATATTATCTAGCAATATTATAAATTTTCGACATATATTACAAATGTATATTATAGTATGTTATAGTTAAGCAAGTGCAAATTGCATGTTATAGATAAATATGTCATCATCACATATAGATCAAAAGAAATAAGTTAATCTTAACAGGTGAACCCGCTGTGGTTTATTTACCCGACTGACACGCATGTAATTGTAAAAACTGTACGAAGTTTTATCTCAAGGTGTGCTATATGCGTCTCCTGATCCTTGCGTTTAATATAATATATGCTACAATGTCCAAAACAATACACACTGATATTAATATTATTATATTAAACCAATAATTTATATTCTCGAAGCCCAATTCCATGAGCAATTTTTTAGGACTAACGAAATGGCAATAATCCGCCGAACACTTCAGTTTCGCCCGATCGTACCTACAATTATAAATATTTCTTTTAGATTTTGTGGTATAGAGAAGAGGAAAGACAAAGCGAGAAATTAAATAAATGTAGCTGAATTATTCTTAAATAATAATTTCTTTTAATATTTATACTCGCAAAATTTAGAATAAATGCATTGTCAAAAGATGAGAGTCTTACCCGTAAATCGCCATCAATACTCCCTCGAAAGCATATTTAAAGAACGACATTTTAAACAGCCAATGTAAGTAGGGCTTCACGTCTTTAATATTTACGAAGAAACCACTGAGCAAAAAGAATGGCATAATTGCAAACGGCCCAAAAATGACGCTATCCTAAAAGAAAGCAATTGCCAATTTACAAGTTGTGATTAGACGAATTGTATTAGTTTAAAATCTTCAATTCCAGTCATGCCTTTTTCGATCCTCTTAAAATAAGAAGAGACAACAGATAATATATAATCATTAATATAAATTTGAAATAATTTGATATAATTTGAAATATTTTAAAATAACATATTAAATTAGATTAAATAGATTAATACAAACTTGGACTTTTAGCGAACACCCCATGATAAATCCAATGGTTTGACCAACCAGGCTGGCAACGAAGCACATGAGCATGTACAATCCAAATCTTCTGCCTTCAGGAAGCTGATCGCTCATGTAATACACTATAACGGTATAGACAAACGTGGCAATAAGTTGGACTAAAAAATCGGCCAATTTGCCCGCTAAATAGTACGATCGTAGTTTGTACCAACGATTGAAGTGCTCGCGTTTGAGTATTGGTAATTCCAAAGGAACTGCGAAAACAGGAAAAAATATAACGGCGTTGTATTTCAGAGAATCTGTCAGGCCATAAAATTGTCAATAAAATTAAATATAACATATTGACGCATTGATTTTGATATCAGTTTTTACATCTTAATTGTTTGCTTATAAAATTCTATTGTTTTTCCATTCATGTAATTTATAAGCCATATTCAATGAGTTGTTATCACGCATTTATGTTACATACAATACATTAATTTATATTGGCTGTGTTTCAAAATTCATTGCCAGCGCTGAAAATCTATAGTATACGTTACATTTACTATATATCCAGCGCTGGTAGTGAATTTTGAAACACAGCCATTGTTACACATTATGTATGTTGCATTATACACATAATGAGATTAGATTTCGCCAAATGTAATAGACATACTTGTGACCATTGTAGCGCTAAACGCACTGTACACGAGAAACATGATGTTGTAATACGATAGACTAAAATTGTCTAAAACGAAAGCAGCGTCTTGACCGATTTTAAAATATAATGTGCCGACAATCAAAGCAATCGCACAATGCATTGTAATCCGTAAAAGTGCGAAGACCTACACAGAAATAAATAAAATAGTAAAGATAAAATAAATAAATATTATTACAAATAAATTAAATTTACACAAAATAAATAAAAATTTAAATTTAAAAGAATTTTTAATCTTTAATATTAATACTATTGATACAATAAAGTAAATTATATTGTAATATAAGTTAACTGAAACATTTATATAATTAGACATTTTTTTCCCGATACTTATATGAAAAAGGAAGAGAGAAAGAGAGAAAGAGAGAAAGAGAGAGAGAGAGAGTAAATTCTCTCTAGCACGGTAAAACGTGTCTTATGAATAATATTCGTAATGTAATATTACCTTATCGCGAAATAATCTAATTGCGTTTCTTTTGATAAGAACACAAAGTTGTCTCCAGGAGTTGGCAGTGTAATATGGAGTGTTGAATTCCGTTTCGAAGGAATACAATCTCATAGTCATCTGTTGCAATTTAATACTTTCTTTGCTTTTGTTCAAGTAATGGGTATTCGTCGACCTCCATACATCATTCCTACCATTCTCAATTGACTCCACCAGCTTGGATGTGTGAGGACCGTAATCGCCGTTGCATATTTCCATCACTACGGAACAGGAGCTTTAAATTCGTGTCACCTAGATTTTTGTGTATTAAGCGAGTGATTTGTCTGCTTTGAAACGATAAAAGATGAATAATTACAGAAATCAACAGGATCGTAATGCGTTGGACAGTGTAATCCTATACTGTTTAGATACGGCACCAAATTTTGCGTGCTGCCCGTGTAAACACAATTGCCGTCAGCAATCACGTAAAGATGATCCAGCATGTTGAAAAGGATCGCGCTCGGTTGATGAATCGTGCAGATTATGGTATGTCCTTTTTGCGCTAATTGCTTTAAAAGTGCTATGCACTGCTTTGAAGAAGTGCTGTCTAAACCGCTAAGAAGATTAATTAAAGTTGTATAACCAGGTACGTGACAAGAAAAGAAGCATAGGCTTTCATCAAGAAAATCATGTAATATCTACCTCGTAGGTTCATCAAGAAACATGACTGGTGGATCGCTGATCAGTTCAAGTGCAATGGCGAGTCTTTTTCTTTCTCCTCCGCTAAGTTTGTCAGTAATCACATAACGAGACTCATCGAGCCCCATCACTACTAATATTTCGTCGATCTGTCACAACAATTAATTTTTACTCATTAAACTCGCATTCTAGTAAAAAGTCGTTATAACATCATTAAATATATAATCTGTATTTATCGAGATCTATTAAACTTAATTACTTTATTATAATAAAGCAGATAAAGCATGCATAATTTATTTGATTCATGATACACAAATTTTTCAACTCTTGAAATATTTTTATTAAATATATTACTAACACAAATATATATTACAAATATTCTTTATGAAATGATCAATCAAAACTTTTTAAGTTGCGCAAAATCCATGCAGAGGCGTATTCAGGGGTTGGTGAAACTGGGCGCAGGCCCATTAACTAATCAACTTGCAACGTTTCTCTTGCGAATGAATTCAAGAATCGAACTCCTGGTGAAAATAAAAATCGGAACGTAAGTCGAATATAAAAGGAGAATAATAAAAGCGTAAACGAAATTTTTAGGAAATATAAATTGAAACGCCTCTTAGATGACAAGTTTTAATGGGCAAATTTAAAGTTACTTTGAAAAGTCACAGTGATACGAAGTGGTCAACCAAACAAAGAGCAGTTAGTGTCTTTAAAAAGTCAGTAAAGTAAGTTCTGTTTTTTTTTTAAGACAGATCGCAGAAATTATATAATGATGAAACATCTTTTGAAGCTCAAACTTTGATCAGACAAATAGACTTTAGATTTCTGTGCCTTCTTCTAATATGGGAAAGAATACTGAGTTGCATCGACAAAGTTAACCAGTCTCTTTAAAACAAGAGTGTTTTCTCTAGATGTAGCAAACAAAACGATAAAGAGTCTCGCAGGATCGTTGCAGAAAGTGCGAGATGAGGGAACGGAACCAGCTATAATGTTTACCAGAAAAAATTAGAAATGGGATTGGAAGACGACTTTTCTGACGTGAGGCTGAAAAGAAAGTCAAAAGGTTTCATGACAGTCCATCCGACGAAAACCCTTATCTCTCTCTTGAGCAGCGAGCTTTAGAAGAGAAATAAATATAGTTTATGATAGAATGTTAACGGAAATAAAGTCACGATATCATCGAATCTCTTTTTTTCTCTGGAAATAGCTTGAAGAATCTGAGTTTGAATGAGAGCTGAAAAAAAGTGCTGACTTCGGACTTCACTATTCATTAGACGTAGACAAGTTCCACTTTGTCTACGTCTAATGGTCGGTCACTTGTGCCCGAATTAGAAGTGTTCAAAGCACAAGTACAAGAGCTGATCGAGGAATTAGAATCAGTAACTCCCCTGTATTTATTAAAATGTATTCAAGAATACTCCCTAGATGACATTTATCCAAACATCAAGACTGCATGCACTTCGAATTTATGTAACTGTACCAGTGACTGTAGCGTCTTGCGAACGCAGTTTAGCAAGCTCAAGTTAATGAAGAATTATCTCCGTTCTGCGATGAATCAAGAAAGGTTAATCAGACTTGCATCATTATTAATAGAAAAACAAGTGTGGTTTCACACATAAATGTAGATGCAATAATAGACGAATTCGCTTTAGCCGAGGCAAGGAAAAATAAAATTGTAACTTTCATAAATTTATATAAGTAATAAAATGTTTATACATTAAATCAGATGTTATTTTTTTCTAGGAGGGAAGCGTCGCCGATACAGCTCTTTGTCACAGACGCGAGGAATCCTAGATACGCATCTGAATCTATGCTAGTTTTGAATAAATTTGCAAATATAATACTCGTATGCTAATTTTTATTATCAGATTTCCATTAGCATTTCCGATCGATTTGTTGTACGTCATTAAATTAATGTTTTTATCACGCTGTTATTCAATTCATTCTACACAGATTATAAAATATTGTGTTTAATAAAAGAGAGATTTAGATCACTTGGACTAATAAGACATATATTATAGCTTATTTAACAGGTTATAACTTATTTAACAGATGCAGATCTTGGAAATGTAAATAATAATTGTTCAAGAGGAGAACCAAAGCGTCACAAAATAACGACTCGAAAATAATTGTTGGTACGTGGAAAAATTGTCATTTCTTAACACAATAAATTACTTATATACCGGAAATGATTCTGTTTATCTGTCATGTAAGACATTTTATTTAGTTCCCTCAGTCCCCGAAGAATTATGTACACAGTAGCGTGTCAGTAATATCTACCTTCTGTAATTTCTCATGGTTATTCAATCCGAGTTTGAGATCGGCAGCGATGACCATAGCTTCCTGCACTGTTAAAAGTGATTGCAGATTATCGTCCTGCATTATGTAGGCAGATAATTTACGAAACTCCGATATATTTCGTTCCCGTCCATTTACCATGATCTTGCCGGTGACTGAGGTAGTTCTGAAATGCGATGTGTCGTTAATTTATATATCACTGTTCTGTATTGATACTATCTAATTTCTTCTTATCATTACACACAATCAATATGTAGGTAATCTGTGTCAAAATATGCCTATTTGCGAGTATAGATAAACGATTGTAACTAATTAGCCCACTGTTCTCTCATTAGCAAGTATGTATACGTTATAATTAATAAACAATTAATTGCCAATATTTGGTATGCGTCCTAGAAAAATTCGCCAATCAATCACCAGTTCAAAATCGGGCCACGTTCAAAAAAAGAAGCAGATAAGGATGCGCAAGAAGATAAGAGTGCGAAGAAGATAAGATTAAAAACTCACACTTATATATTTGTGTGATATCGCGATGCATCGTGCCAGGTGCATCTAAAGAGCGAATGGATACTGATATTGACGTGTAGATAAAAATATTCGTGCGCGTATACCGTAACTTTGCACCAATTATGTCCACACAATTCTGTGTAAGAACGAGCGAGCTCAAATATGAGTAAGTAAAGCTCGATCCTAGCATTGATATAACAATTCGCAATCCAGGAAAAGATTCCACAGAGCAAAGAAATCTCGCTAATCAAAGCTGACAATGAAGATTATCAGTATATGATATCTAAATTCAAGGCTATTTTCCGAGCGGTTATCGATCGAATGAATCAAGATACTCTCGTTTCGGAGAGTATCTTGATGAACATTCCAGTTAATATTTGGAATAGGGTCAGTAAAATCTTCAATTCACAAAACACTTTTGAAAAATGAACAGATCCGTCCGAGAAAAAATCTAAGCAGATCATAAATGGAATATTATAATTTTACCTCAACGTAATATATTTTCTATTTCATAATTTTTATTAATGAAACAAGATCTTTCATTACTTTCAATTGCTTGGTGTTTGGTGGTTTTCTGCTTAATTCTGATACTAATATTCTTCTTGTGTGGGTCATGTGCGGGCGCGTTATTAAATTATGCAGCAAATCCGATATATTACACGAGAGACCAAGAAAAAAATGTTACAAATTTTATATTCGTAAATTTCAATTAAAAATTATCTTGATGTAGATCTCTTAAAATAGCCGATAGTAAACGCCTGAATTTGTATTATTCTCTTGCACGCTTCAGGTAAAAAAAAATTTACGAACTGGCAATTATGCGGCTTTTTCTCCGCCCAGGAGATAAAATTGACCAGAGTGTACCACTAGTCATATATACTAACGTGAAACCTGCCAGGATGTCCATTAATGTAGATTTCCCAGCGCCCGAAAGACCCATAATAGCTGTGAGCTCGCCCGGTCGAAAGTCGCCATGAAGATCGTTCAACAATTTTTTCCTCTCTACAAAACAAATTGCATAATTATTCTACAAAAGAAATGTTTAGTAAGTAACGTTGTTTGATATACATGATGGAACATGTCAAATTCGCGTAAACGGAATGCAATCAATGTCCTAATTACAATCCAAACAAATTGCCACCGAAGTGAAAGTTTCACAGGTAAGAACATGCGGCATGTTGCCGCTGCCGTAACATATGCAAGGAATAATAATACTACGAGATAACAGTGCTAAAGGAAGACATCATAATAACATGTTCACGTATTTTATAATTTAACTTAAATTAAAAATAACAGATTTTCTAATGATTTCTTCGTGTAAAATTGTGTGTTAAAAATTCGTTGAACATATCTCTTTGTGTTCTTCTTGTTTTATACTTAATATTTGATTTGCAATCAATTTAATCAGAGACTGATAAGCCTTTAGGAAGTAAAAGCATCAACATTTCGAATCGAAGTCTAGCTTCATTGTTTATGATTTATTAATTATTAATGATAAATTTAATACTTTGTCTTCGATATTTGATCAAATTGTACATGAAATATCAAAAATTTTTTTACAAATTCTGTAACAGTAAAATTTACATAAGAACTTTATTAATATTTATTAATACAAAATTTGTTATTAACTCGCAGTGAACAATAGCTATTGATAGAGTGAATTTTTTTATGTAACCAATTTTATAGCGTCATCCATCTTGTAAAAAATCGCGTTTAAAATTATACTTACTTATTGTGTTTGCTACTACGTCAATACATTTATTAATGTATGTTACATTATATAACAAAATTATTCAAACTAACGATTTTATCTTTCCAGAGAAATATTAATTCTTAAAAAAAATATTAAAAAACTGTTGTCAAGAAATAAATAAAATTGCGTATAAGTAAGTTTTTTCATTTCTAGCTCATTTTTTTTTAATTTTTTGAAAATAATTTATGTATGGTTGAATACGATTGAATTTGTCTTTAAATAAACAATGTGATTATAAAAACAGAAATAAAATGGTTTGTTCCGCCAACAATAATTAAACAAGAAAAGTTTATTGATTTCGACCTCAATTGGCAAAAGAAATTGAAACGTTGCTACGTTTCGACCCCTCGGATCGGATCCTTATTAAGCAATCTGCTTGGTCGAGGGGTCGAAACGTAGCAACGTTTCAATTTATTATTTTGTCAATTGAAGTCGAAATCAATAAACTTTTCTTGTGTGATAATAAAGACATTTTAAATCTTTTTTCGAAAAAAGTAGTGAATAATAAAGGTACTTTAAAAAAACATTTTCAAGACATTTTCGGAAAATCTAAAAATTTATAAAATACTTTTGAAACAATAAAAATTTTAAAATTCATGTAATCGACTACAATGGGTTATATAATCGTCATGACAATTCGACCATTGGTTTTTTGGTCAGATTAATCGTCAAGACGTTAATAATCTTTGATACATATATTGATATTATGAAAAATTGTTTTATTTAAAATAATTTTGCATATGTCTTATCACTCTTATCGTTTCGATAATATACGTTTAGAAATATCAGAGTCGATTTTTACGAAAGAGCGTATCCCCTTCATGTGGTTAAAAGCACTTGTAAAAAAACATGTGTCTCTTATTTTGATCTTTACCACATATTTAAAGCCCATCAAAATCGAGAAGGAGGATCCGTTTGTTCGTCAGTTGTGTTGATATCTAACAAGAATTTATGACTCTATGTTATCCGCATCATAATTATTCAATTTACACGCTTGAAATAATTGGTCTTTGTACTTATAATACGAAACAGATGTTCGCTGTCATTAAAGTTATATATTATCTGCAGCGACTATAAATGTTTAAATTGCAAATATACAGTGCAGTTAAGAAGTATAAATTTATTAGTTCTGATATATTGCGATATCTGTTTTAATAACTACTATTAACGTTACAAATATTTGAATATATATACATATATATACATATATACGAATATATATAACACATATATATAGCACATGTTTCGATAATATATATATAAATTTATCTCGGTTATCTAAGAATTGCTAGATCTTCTAGAGATAGATATATCTAGATAAATGATATTCCAGCAACAACCGGACACCAATCTCATAAGAGCAATGCAATATATATCATTATCTTGCTACACTTTGAAACGAAGTCAAATAGCAACTCGCGTATATCTTATCGATTTCAAAGTATTCTCAGCTACCATTGGCGTGTCTGTGTTCTGAGAATAGGTATTCGTTTTCTAAACGACGAGCTCTTATCTTAATTTTCATATTTATATAAAATAAGAATAAAATTGATTTTCCATTCCGTTATTCTCACTTAAAAACAACAATTTTAGTAAACGTTATAATAAACTCTTACTTACTATGTTTCAAACGTTTAATAAAAATTACTCTCATTATAACAGTAATTTGTAATAATTATTCTTTAATCATTATTTATTCTATATATTATTATACTATATTGAAACAACATTTACACACAGCTATCTCTACAAATTTATGCTTTTACACGAAAAGCTGTATTGTCAAAACCAGAGTTAATCACATGCGTAACAAAACATTAATTTTAACATAGAATATTTTTCATATAATATTAGAAACAGAAACCCTATATTTATTATACTTATGTAATATAATTATAATACGCTCTCCTTTTCTTGATGTTTATATCTGATCGAATTACGTTATGTATGTCATAAATACTTATTAAATATTATTTTTACTATTATTTTACGTCGCTTTATTTACCCTTTGTCAAAATCCCTTTCCGTACGCTGTACGATATATCCTCAAAGAGCAGATAGAGCGAACGGTCGATCTGCACGTTGTCCGGCGCACACTGTTGCGGATCTCGCGACCTTTCTGCAGCTCCCATCATCACTGTAGCCAGATACGTTCGTTCGATCGGCGTCACGCCTTTCTCGTCGGCAATCCCCTCGCGTTGAGTTTTCGCCGCGCGTGAGCGCGTTTCACATTTCTTCCGCGCGCTTTCCTTTTGCCCGATCGACTGGGCAAACACGCAACTTCACCACATTCGATTCCGCACGCGCGCGCTTTATTCCGCGCGCGGTTTTCTCCTCGCGGGCCGGATCGACTAGCGCACAACTTCGCCAGGGTTCGATTCTGCGCGCGTCCTTATCCGCGCGTGAGCGCGCGCGTATGTACACACGCCGAACGCCACGGCGCGGCGCCGCGTCGCGCGCCCGCGACAAAGCGAGAATATTCACTCTCGCGTCTCGCGTTCGCGACACGTCGTTCCTTGGCGTTCGAACGCGCACGACTAAAGCAAGCCCTCCCTTTTGTCAGCTGAACGACGATCGCGAAATCGATGTTTCAAAGTCCAACACGCTCGGTGTGAATCCGCGTTATCAGGACGCGCTCTCACCGAGAGAGAGATAAGATTTACGATTTACTATTGTCGGGAGAATGATCGCACGTGACAGCTCGGCTACGCTGACTTCTCTGTTTCGAGCGAAAACGTGGAGCGTATTAAATGAGATTCTATATTAAGGAATTTGAAGGGAGAGGGGGTAATCTTTTATTCAGCACCATGCAACGCGTATACGGTTCTGCGACAATGAATCATATACCGCGGCGAGATTCCGCGGAAGAACAAGAGATAATTTAATTCTCGTTCGATTGATTGTTCGCTTCTGATCACGTGACACACACGTATCGTAAGAAGAAAAAATTATCTTGCAATGGGAGAAAAAATGAAAATGCAATGAAAGCAATTGATAAGAACGGCCGACTTATTGACTGCGCGGCGGCTTGTGATTCGATTATCGTATAATATGCTGACCGATCCAAAATTTTTCTTTTTTTAATATCATGTAATATTTAAATATAAGCTTTTTCAATACTTAAACTACAACTTTTAGTAATACAATATCTATATATGAAAGATTGTTTCAAATGTTTAGAGTATCAAAATATATATAAGTTCAGATTTAAATATGATCATAAAAGTTATAATCAGAAAATAAAAATTTTGGATTGGATAGTATACGGCCTATGTGCATTAGAACCTTTCCGTGCTTTTTTAAATATACGTCATACATTCACAAAAAGAAATTTGCAGTAAGATTATTGAGTTAAAAATATTTTACTGTATATAGTTACCAAGTAGGATAATAATAAATACTTAATAGAATAATCGATCCAATAACAATTATAAATATTATGTTACCAAATTTTAGTCGCACGTACGAAGTGTCTAAATTTAAACGTTAGTAAAACACAATAAGATGATTTTTGTTTTAATCTGCACAATTGTCAATATTTTTCAGAAATATAATAAAATAATATTTTAAATAATATAAGGTACGTAGGAAGTCTGGGTTTTCCCGCGATAAAGTTTTATAGATAAAATGTAATTATATACTGCCTCTATTTCATGTTTTTTAGTAATAAAGTAATACTTTGTATAGTATAAAGTGCAAAAAATCTGGTTTTCCCATAATAACATGAACTCTATTTTTGTAGATAAAACTTACAATTAGATGATTATATACACTGCGTCTATTTCATATCTTACAATCACGTCTGGAGCATGCATATATGTATAATTACAATATAACATTATTTATTCAGACATTTTATTATTTAATAATAAACTTATTGATTGAATATAATTTGTATATTTGGAAACATAAGTTTATGATCTGAAAATATAAGCTTATGATTGTAAGCTTACATCCTCGACTTGGCTTGGTATATACCGATAAATATTGTATACATAAAATTCCGATAGTTTTCGTAATATTATCGCAATATTTTCTACCATATCGTGGTCCAAGATATGTATATATCCTTAAAAGGATTTGCTGTTAGATAAATATCACTTGTAAATCCTGTTATGTCCTTTGACTCTAGATACAACGTGATGCTAGCCTATTAATTTTCATATTTCCATAATTCATCAATATTGCAACGTTATCGGGCATTTTTACATAACTATTACTTTTATTTTCACATCAGTCGATAATTGCAGTTATAAATCACAATACACAATCGCAGACACGGCCGTCATAAACTAATTAGCAATATCGCGGTATCATTATTCATATAATAATAGATAATACAATTATATTATTCATACAATTCGTCATTTGTATATGTAATATTTGAAAGACGTAAAAATGTATCTCTCTCTATAAATCTGACTTATGAGTTTTACTACACACTTGATCACGTTAGAAATTAACTGTGATGTTTTTATATTGTAATATTAAAAGATATTTTCATGCTTCTTTTTGTGAACACAGCAATTGACCATGAACACGAATGACATCTAAACACTCATTTATTAAATTAAATGTCCAAATTAAAATTGTGGCCTACGTAAAACATCCTTTAGCATCACCGAAGAGTCGAACAATTAAAATTAATTTCCAATAAACTCAGGTAAATAAAATTCACTGGATTGTCAATTAATCGCTTAATAATTCACTTGCATTCGAAAAATTAAAGTCGATTCCGTCATGTCTCGTCCTAATTATTACTAGGGATTATAATCCAGACTAAACTTCTTTAGTAATAACTAACATAACTATACTAATCTTTAAATACACTTGGTACATTGCACTTATGGACGGACATTTGCTTTAAGTCCGTACAATTAGGCTCGCCAGGAAAAGAACGCATGGTATTTCTCGGCCTAGAAATCGATGATTAACAGTTCCTATGTATAAATAAAATCTCTCAAGTCGATTAATCAACGCAATTGTCGGAATAATCGTTCACATGCTACATATTTACAATTATAGAGAGCGACGTGCCACGGAATTGAGATATATTCTGTACAATGATAACAACAATAATAACAATAACAACAATAAAATATCTGATTTGAGAAAAAAATCAGAAATCATTCTGCCTGGGCATTATTACAAAAGTAACTGTTGCGTTACCAATGATAATTATTATATAATTATCATATAAGATAATTATTTTATAAGATACACCTTTTACAATTACGAAGATATACATGATATTTAATACACAACTCTGTACTAATCAATTTTTATTTTTATTTTTGCATGCACGTTTGAAAAATATCTCTTTATCGTCTTTACCTGATTCAAATCAAAATATTAAAAATTTCTATTTTTTCGACGACAAGAGTAAAATTCAAACTTTGTTTCCTAAAATGTCATCATTTTTTTATATGAACAGTAGCGACACATGCAGATAAAAAAAGTTCTTTTTTTTCTTCAAATGAGTTGAGATCTTCAAATTGCATTTGCTATCAAGAAGCGTCTTTTAAAACAGGGTGTGCGTTTTATTATAGAATAAAACTTTTAACGTTAAAAATATTAAGTAATAGAAATTTGGAAGTTTATAAACAAATGTATACGTTAAATCTCAAACTACTATACACAATATCCAATTATATTCTTTACAAAATTTTCATAAAATTTGCCTTAAAAGTTTATTTTTAAACAGGAGTTTAAAACTTCTTTAAAACGACGTTAATCAATAATTTGGGATGTTATTTTAAATAATTCTCAAATTACTTAAAAATATTCCCAAATTTTTTGAAGACGACTTAAACGCATCACATTCATATAAAATTATTTAAAAATAAGAAAATTTATTAATCTCAATATAAAAATTCCAACCAAACTCGTCTCTCCTCCAGTTTTGGTCTTCGATATTCCACATATACATTGCGAGTCACACCGAGCGCGCAGGCACGCGAATAATATCAACATAATATCTTATTATAATCTTAGGGATGCCCAAAAATAATACCTTTGTTTAGGGAATTTGAAAAAAGATTTCTCTCTTTAAACATCGATTAAATAATCGTAAAATTAGATTTTAATTAATTTTTTAAAGTAATTTTTATTTTATTTATATATTTTATTCTTGTTATGCAAACAAATTCTAATTAAAAAAATAGTATACGTACGCAAATACAATTTAAATATATCTAAATTATCCGACGTTGGTCTACTTATGAAAAGTAGCGAAAACTTATTTTCTTTTTTAATAAGAGAAATTCTTGAGAATCCTTAAAATTCTGCGCCAATCACAAATCAGCAACGAAATGAATTGTGTCAATATCAGTAAACTTACAAGTAATCTAAGAGTTCACATATCACAAATTAATTTCACGCTCTACCTTAGGCATATATAACGTTTAATTCTTCCAACAATCTTCACAATCCGATCGACGTATCATTACGTAACATTCAGCGTTCTAACAAAATACACATACACCCTGTTTTGTATTTATTTCGTGATCACCATTTTGTCTATAACTTCGACAAAGTTCTGTGTTTTCTTTTTCTAAAGAGTAATATTAGAATACCTCTGTCCTTAAATCAGACGACATTTGGCATCTTCGTAGTTGATTTTCTTCAGCCAGCAACCTGCACAGCTATCTGTCCGTGCGAAAACCTTTTTTGGATAAAGATCCTTTCATTTTCGCATGCACACACTATTCGCTAACCAAACAACCGACCCTCGTCAATTGACGTCCATTTTTGCAGATCTTCGCAGAACTTCTGCTTCACGTTGACTCTAATACGCCGCCGGCGAGTTTTGTCGCGTACAAGTTTAGTGCCTGTAAAACAGAAAGTTTTATTTTAGACTACGGTGACAACTTTAAAACGGTGTTATATATATTCTATCTAAATTTGATAAAAACTCTATAATTTTATTTCTTATAAATTTTACTTTTTATACTTAAAAAAAATAGGCTATCAAACAAATTATTAAATTCGTGTGGTTAAATTAGGTTTGAGGAATACGCGCATTCTATTTTAGCAAGACACGTGTTCTCGTGTAGCGATTGATAGCATCGAGCATCACCTTGTATATGAAAGCATATTGCTCCTTGGTCTGAACTGCGCCAGCCCGGTCTCTCCTGATGGTGTAAACGACCCTCGGCACATCCACGGTCCTCGTAATTTCATATTGTCTAATTCCTAGGTCGAGGGCTATTAACGTGCCAGTGCGGCCTGTGCCAGGACTACAATGGACCACGATGGGCCCAGGGCCACCTCGCTGGAGTGCTCTCGCCTCAAGGAGCACCGCTATTAGGCCTGTACCGTCTGATTGGACGCCACTCACCGGCCATAGGTACCAGATGTGGAATACCTCTCGGAACGTATTGTTCTCCAGGTTCTGCAAAACATATTTAATTAATTGCTGCCGTTTGAAAAGATTATCTTTGAATATTTGAACTGCTATACAGCTACCGCTGGAGTTATAATTGAATCATTTTCACAGAGATCTCTCTTGCGGTATATTATACTTTGAATTTCATTAAGAACATTATTTACTTTGTATTCGATATTTAATTATAATTAAACTGAAGCGAAGAAAATTTAATAATAATATTGAGAAAATATAATTAATAATTGAGTTCATAAAATAATACACGTTAGTGATTAGATTCCAAAGAGGTTTATCACCAAGTGGTTCGTAACTAGGAATGTTCTTTACCTTCAGATGAAGTGTAGAGATAGCGTATTTCTCCTTGGCTTCCCGCTTTTTCAGGGTGACTTGGAAGTCACCGTAAAGCCGATGACAGTCCGTTACCTCCGAAGGTGGAATGTATTCTGTACACTTCTCCACTTCGTTCTCGACGAGATCGGTCAGCATGATAATCACCTTGCACTGTTGCTCCCAGATCATTCGCCAAAAGTCGGTAACGGTCGACTCGATTGGCGCTTGGCACGCGATATAGTACTTTGTGGCGTTCTTAGGCCCCTGAGAAAAAGACGTGCGTTTTTAAATCACATCCAAGAGTATCTGTAATTATTTCTAGATATCTTCTAACAGTAAAACTAAACATCTTTTTCTTCTTTATCGAGTTTCAATACGTTGTGTCTAAAAATAAGAAAATGAGGAATTAACTGCTTTATTTTTCTCTTCAATTTATAATTACTAATATTTAATCACTAATGTTAATATTAATATGAGATCATTTATTTAGGAGAGACATTTTGACTGGGAACCTAATATATAACACGTTACTCATAAAATTATCAATTAAAACACGAAATTACTTTTCTTTACTTTACCGGAAACTTCAACCTAACGTGTCTGTAGATATCAAAAAAATGTAATTTATCTCGCATCTTTTATTTGAGCATTTTAAATTAAAACTCACTCGTTCATTGGCTACGATTAATCTAACATTACGGGACGTTCACATAAAGCAATCTTAATTAATGATATTATATTTTTAAGAACGGCAGAATTTTTTTTATAGATAATTGTCGTGCGCGACCAATCACGCTCTATTCAGACGTGCAATTGTGTTTCCGGAGTATTACGCGACTTTATCGACAGTGGAGCGAAATTAATTACACGTCAGGCTGCGTTCCATCGACCACATTCGGCGCGCATTAATGCCTGCACGCTCCGTAATTGCAAGATGTACGCTATACACGTTGTATACGGTGGTGTATATACAAGGTGGAAGCGTATACGAATGCCGGCTCGATTGTATCCGCGATATAAAGCAATCCAAAGGCGGAAGCGATATGCTCGGGTACGCTTATTCATCGATCGATTCGTTCCTAATAGAAATCTGGTCCGTTGCCACGTCGAATCCCACACGGAAGCGCGTCTTAACGCATACGAGATAAATGGGGATTGTTGCCGGGCGCCGCAGGAGATGATACTTGGGAGAAGAAAAAGAAGCACGATTCTCTTGCGTGTTTCTACACTTTTTCCTCTGGCCTTTTGTTTCTTGTACGAAAATATATTGTAGGACAATAAATTATAGAAAAATTTCCCAAGCAATAAATTGAAAATTGCTCAGTCGTCGCGCATCTTGACTTTATTGGATAAAATTGTTCGTCGCGTAAATCGTTACGGCATCGTGCACACATAACACATTCGCGACATCCTCCTGCGATTTATGCAATGAAAGAGATTACGCGTGTGCGCAGGTTTTTCTTCGAGTATTACTTTTATTGCAGATTGCCGCTATCGAAATTATTTCGTGAACTAAACAATTGCGGTGCGTTTTACTAAGATGAATTTAATTAATATTGATGCGAGATAGTTCAAAAATCAGTAACTATCTCAATAAAGTTATACAGTTAAAATAAAACATTGTACTCTCGAACTAAAGAAATATATATTGGTGAAAGGTAAACTGAAAGAATTTTAGAAAGGCGATTTTCTAACACCTTTATGTGATTCAAAACATTTTTTACCTTTTTTATTTTAAGACAACATTATTGAAAGCTATCCTTAAACTTAATCGTATCAATATTTAAACTTCTTTAGATAATTTATAACTGGAGATGGAATTGAAATAGAATTATGTCTAGAAATTATATATATCATAGATCGCCCAAAGCGTGCGCTGCGAAAAAATTTTCTATGTGAATTATTGTATCATTAGTATCTTTTTAGACCAATTCTCGATCAGCCAATTTCGGGATATCAATTTAAAAAAATCAGGACATTTTTATTGGTACATCAGATTAAAAAATACCTTGTAATATTAACGCATCCCGAGAGGAATACTGTCACAACTAAAAAATTCACATTTTTCAGAAGAGAGGAAAAAAATTCAATTTTTTGAATTGTGAGATAATTATAACGCAATTACGTTTATGATATTTTGTTATAATGAAACTTATTTACTGTTTCTTGAAGAGAACTGTTGTGATTCATTTGATCATTTGTCAATTTTCTTATATTTTCTAATATAAATAATCATTATCGCGCAGAAAAAACAGTACATACATGCGGTTCTCTTGCTTATATATGTATATGCGTATGGTCCGCGTTTTATTTCTACCAAAGAAAAGCCTTTCCACCATCACTGCAGATTGGCTGAGTATTATGTTTTCAATTCAACGGACCTGAATTTTAATGCGATCTATTATTATATTTTATATTATTTATTTTGTTATATGAAAAATCGGGGTAAATAACGTCCCGTCTACGGTTCTTTTGGGATGCTTTTAATGAAAGCTGAAAATCGGAATGTTCCGATCGGAAAAATTCGGGATGGTTGGTCATCCTATGTACAATATATTTCATCATATATTTTAGAGAGGGAATGTATAAAAAATCATCATTTTAATTTCTTTAATCTCTTTATGAAATTGCGAAGCTCGTCTGCTTTTCAGGGATTTCTAATCCTTTAAAATGTACGAGAAGCGTACGTATATATTTCAGGACAAATGTATTCTCGTAACCTTGTGCACGCGAGATGATTAGACCTCTTTGACTCCGTTTTGTGAAGCTTTTGAGGCTACAGAAAATGAACTAGTTATATTCCGTAAACAATTCTTAACGCTTCCGCATCTGAGTTCCCAGCTTGCGCGATACAATGCACTCACTTTCCCGTGGCGATGCGTGTTACGTAATATTCCTTTCCCACAACCGCAAAAACGCTTTGCTACTCTTTAACACTTTAGCATTCACTGTGATGACGTGGCTGACGTAATCTGATCTCGCATATAAACACTTATTATCCTAATGACATAGATAGATAATTATGCAATTCTCCCATGGTCCACATAAAAGTAAAACGGAGTATAGGTAGATCGGATTTATTTTTCACTCGACGTGTTGCTCGCTATTGATTTGCAAATTAATTAATTCACATTACGCGGAAATGTGAACCCGTAATTCAGGAACCTAGGTGTAAATTATGCTCGAATTCGAGCTCGGGTTTAAGGTTTTATGTTTCTCACGTCGTAAACGCCTTTAACA